CAAAGCCTTGCAGAGACGAGGTTTCAGTCTGTTGGCAAAGAAGCTCAAACCAGAAGAAGAATAATTTGAAAGATAAGTATAATATTAGAAAGCAGCAGAAGAGGAGATTACAGATGAGAGAGTTAGAAGTAGAGAGACGAGGGGGTAAAAAGGGGAGGGAGAAGAAGAGGGGGAAAAAGGCAAGGAAAAGAAGTTGTAAAAGACAGAAATGGAGAAATGGAGAAACAGGGAAAAGATATAAGGATTGTAACCATAAGCTTGTTTAGAGATAATGGGTGAAAATTTAATTGCAAAAGGTATTCTGCAAAAGTACATAAGATAGCATTATTATATTATAAACAGAAATAATTTTAGAAAATATGATTAAAATGATGGATAAAATATTTACTGTAATGTAGTTGAATGTTTGGTAATAAATAAATGAATTAAAATGATTGAGAGAATTAAATGGGAAGAGTTTTAATTATTAGTAATGATTTATAAAAATATAAGTGAGAAATATGGGGGGGGGAAGAATTAACTATGGAAAGTTTATAAGTGTTCCCAAGGAAGTATGACATTTAATTGAAAAGAAATGCTAAAGATGTTAAGATTTTAATGAATATTAATGATAGAATTGAATTGGAATGGAATTATATATATATTTACATATATATATAATTTTTTCTTTTTAGAATATAGTGTGTATTTTAAGAATATACCAAGCAGAATTCGATTGGAAGTTATGTATTATATTGAATGCTATAATCTTAAAGGTATACACTGAAGCTTAAATAAGAGTTTGAATGGATAAAATTAAAAGATATAAAGGGGTCATACTCCAATTGGTAACTACAGGGAAAATTTTGTTTAATAAGAAAAGATAATATGAAATTGAAACAGGACAGACGAAAGTATAAATATAATGATTTGATTGAGATGAGATAATTAAAATAAAGTTGAGAAAATTAAAAGAGGGGAAAAACTATGTAGAAAATATAAAACGGTAATAAGATATGGAATAGAATATAAAAATGAGCATGAAATTGAGTTTGGTGTCTGTATGAAGAAGTGATAACCTGGGACCATGCTATTTTCAAAAAAGATGTTTTATTTGTATTTTGTTTTTGTGAAAACCCAAATAAAACTTTCAAAAAAAAAATGTGGACACTTGGCAACTGACTTATATTTATGATGGCTGCAATGTCCCCGGGATCCTTTTTGCAGCCTTCTGATACACAAAGTCAACCTTGTCTGCTAAAATCTAGGCAATTATTATATATCAGTAAAGATATATAGATAATTCTTAAAACTTGCCTGCCACTTAATCGCCATTCAGATTCTGCAGCTCAGCTTTAATAACCCCAGTTGAAATTAAGAGACTTTTCTTCTATAGGAAACTGTCCAAGCTAATTTCTTGGATCTGAGTGACTGCATTAAGAGACAAGCAAAACAAAAGAAATCCACAAAAATACGAATGAATTACAGGGCAGGGGTCTCCAACCTTGGCAACTTTAAGACTTGTGGACTTCAAATCCCAGAATTCCTCAGCCAGCCAAGCTGAAATCCACAAGTCTTAAAGTTGCCAAGGCTGGGGACCCCTGTAGGGTATAACTGAATTGGCACAATTACCTGAGAGTTGGAAGCACCACTGTAGATTCAACAACGTATTTTCATCCAAATCAATCACAGTCTTTAACCAGTGACCAGAAATGCAGTGTGGATAATCCTGTGAATGAGTTATTGTACAAATCACAATAATAAAACTTCTTACCTCATCACAGAAAGCAATAATTTATCTTCCTTGTTTCCTGGGGCTGAACTATAACGAACTGTAGTACATTTTGAAGCCCATTGTACTATTCTGTTCTAGTGACTTGTATTTAAGTAGAAAGTTTCAGCACTCCTGCTCTGTGTTGTAATGACGAGGCAGTCGAGTTGTTTGATCATGAACAACTGAATCATGGTGATCTTTATTGGAGTACAGTCTTGTATTTATATACATTTTTAGTTATCCTCCATCATTGGTTAACTTTGGTTACTGCTTAACTTTCGTTACTGTTTAGTACAGTAATCCATATAATTAATTATCTCTAGTTAAAGTCTAACATATGTTTACTCCCCCTCTCTAATCCTCCTTTATCCATAGATTAGTGACTTTGTTGGCCTGAGTTGTATTTGCTTGGAAACATTCTTTATCTGAGGTTTGCCATCCGAGATTGGAATATTCCTGCAATTACAACTCTACAGCTCTGGGGGAAAAAAAGCCTCTGAATTCATTTTGGCTAAGCCCCATCACATTACTCCCCAGTTCTCATATTGAAATATCTTAAATATCAGTCTATAGGGCAAAAGATACCTGCTTAATAACAGTACGTATCATCAGAATCTTAGAATTCTAGTTGATCACATGGAGGACATCAGTTAGCAATGTTTTTGGAGCTGCCATAGAAAAAAGAAGAACGGCGAAAGCAATGTTAGGCTGCATGGATAGCATTTCTAAAATGGGGGGTGTAGTTCTTATTTATTCTGCATCCGTCAGATGAATGGGTTTTTTTCCTTTTTATGTACACTGAGAGCATATGCACTAAAGACAAATTCCTTGTGTGTCCAATCACACTTGGCCAATAAAGAAACCTATTTCAATTCTATATGTTGTGTCCAGTTTGTGTGGGGAAGTGTTTAAGGTGCTAGATTGCAACAGGATGACCCAGATTCTATACCTCACCTCACCCAGGGAAATTAACTGGCTTGATTTCAGCCCATTCACACTCTGGAGTCCTTGGTGCTCTGGAGTCCTTTCTTGCAGATGTTTTATTACCCAACTAGGTAACATTTTCAGTATTATCTGATTGAATACTGTAATGAAACATCTGCAAGAAAACAACCAAGCTCAGAAACCACCAAGGACTCCACAGTTCAATCATGAGCTACGAATGTTCTCCTCTGTTGCACATCCACTCTCTCTCAGTATCATGTTGGGAGGAGAGATATGTAGGACTTCATGAATGTGCAAGCTGAGCAGGGATTTGATGGCGATGCCATTCCTGACATCTTGCATGCTGCAATCCTTTCCCTGTGGGCGCCATTGCACACAGCTTAACAAATGCACAAATTACTAAGTGAAGAGTTGCAAGCAAAGACGATCAAACAAAGGCACCGATGCCAATTATGAAACTAAAGTTTAGCAAGAGCAACAGAGATTAAGCCTCATTAGGTATCTGAAAGAGTGTCTTATGGAAAAGGTGGCCTCTTTTCAACTCTCTTACATCTTAAGGTACATGAAAGCAGGTCAAACATACTATCGCATGTTTGAGAAAGCTTGCTAATGTGCTAAGAGCCGTCTGACTGTGAAACCAACTCACTAGGAAGGGAATGAGCCCTACTTTGCAATTGGCAAAGGACACAGAGCAATCTATTGGGGATGCTTAGAGCTGGGTTCTTGCAAGGAGTGGGAGTTGGGGACTGTTGTTCCTTTCTACCCCCCCACCCCAACAGTTACCAATTTTGCAGGATTAGTTGGCAATCCATGTTCTTTTAAGATAAACAAGAATTTTCCAGTGTTGTTTTCGGAAAACTCCGTATTAATGTAGTCTGTCAATCCATTAAACAAGTATATATTTCTGAATTCCAACAAAGACATGAAAAGTAGGCATAATTAACCAAGTGTGTGTTATTTATTCTAGTTGTTTCATTTCCTGCTGCTAACTTCCATTTTGAGATCCCTTGTTCCAGAAATATGAGAGGAAAACATCTGTCCTGCCATAACTATCACACACCTCTATCATGTACATCTTTTAGAAGACTATCATTAAGTATTGTACCTCATACCTACTCTTGACGAATGTATCTTTTTTTTTATGTATACTGAGAGTATTTGCACCAAGACAAATTCCTTGTGTGTCCAACCACACATGGCCAATAAAGAATTCTATTCTCTATTCTATTAAAAAAACCCAAGTTGTTAAGTTTCCTGGCAGGGGAATTGTGTTAACATAAAGTAGTTACAGGTAGTCCCAGTGGTGGGATTCAAATTTTTTTACTACCAGTTCTGTGGGCATGGCTTGGTAGGAGTGGCAGGGGAAGGATACTATAAAATCTCCATTTCCTCCCCACCCCACTAACCTGGTTTCCAGCTCCATTCTCCTGTGCAGGGCAACAAAAGAAGACCCAGCCAATCAGCTGAGACTCGGGAGGCAGAGAATAGATGGGGTTGGGGTCAGTCAAAGGTGGTATTTGCCGATCCTCTGAACTACTCAAAATTTCTACTATCGGTTCTCCACAACTGGTCAGAACCTGCTGAATACCACCTCTGGGTAATCCTCGACTTATGACCACAATTGAGCCCAAAATGGGTGTGACAAATTTATTGAGTTTTGCCCCATTTTATGACTTTTCTTGCCATGTTTCTTAAGTGAATCATGGCAGTTGTTAAATTAGTAACACAGTTGTTAAATGAATCTGGCTTCCCCATTGACTTTGCTTCTCAGAAGACCTCAAAGTGGGTATCACATGACCTCAGGACACTGTGACTGTCATAAGTATGAGTCAGTTCCCAAGCATCTGAATTTTGATCACGTGATCTTGGGGATGCTATAATGGTCATAAGTGTTGTAACTTTGAACACTAAATGAACTGTTGTAAGTTGAGGACTACCTGTACATGTAGAGAGGTCTACAATCTGGAGGTCTGCAATATTCTTTCCTAAGGTGACATTCATTGTCCCAAGCGTAATATTAGGAGTGTGGCAATTTGATTTTTTGTTCCAATTAAGAAGTACCCTTTTTCTCAGTACTTACAGCCTGTGTTTTCCTTATGTGGAGAGAGCATGACAGATAATGCATTCAATGGGAAATGCTTGAACCTGCCCCTACTGACTCTGACATAAAGGCACATATTGTGTTTGTTATTGAGTCAAGTGAAGCATAATATTCTTTTAATCAATGTACATCTGGCCTTAAAGAGATTCAACCCAATTTAGCATTTTCATGCTCAGATAGTGGCACTGGGATAACCTTGAGTCATCCAAATCAGGGGTCTCCAACCTTGGCAACTTTAAGCCGGGAGGACTTCAACTCCCAGAATTCCCCAGCCAGCGAAGCAAAGGAGTTGAAGTCCTCCCGCTTAAAGTTGCCAAGGTTGGAATCCCCTAATCTAGATTGAAAAGTAAAAACCAAACAAAATTTTTAAAAAACCTGGAAGGCAAGGACAAACTATTCCTGGATTGCTTGCTGTCAAGAAAATCATATAGGACATCCGGTTTGGGCTTCTTCGGCGATGGACTGAAATCTGCGATCGTGCATGGTTTGAATCCGTGCTCACCTCTGGAGTGCCCCCTATCCGTAGAGGTGGTAAAGAAGGGGGAGCCGTCAGCAGGGTTGAGGAGAGCCACATCTCTCCTCCTCAGCTGGCCATTACTCCCTTTCCCAAAGGCGGTTGCAGCATTGGTCAGAAATGGCCACCTCAAAGAAGAACCCGACTGGACAAGATTGTGCAGGAGGAAGTTTAAAGGAGAAAGTTTGACTGACCGGGTTGAATGGAGAACATCTATTTAAGGTACCTGGATTTTAAAGACTAATACTATTCCTATAAAAGATTTTAAGCAGAGAAAGAGAAAGGGAAAGGAAACAGAATTGGCTTTTTTTCCTCTAACATCAACAGTTTTAACTGACTTTGAATGCTAAGAAGAAGAGATTCGAGTAAGAAATTGATACTAATCCACTTTGACATTAATAGGCTATTTCTAGCTGAAAACAAAGTGTCAAAGGGATAAAGAGTCTTGGATAATTTAAAATTTTTCTTTAAAAAAGAAAGAAAGCAATGGAGGGAAAAGGGAAAAAAGAGGGTGGAATCTGGAAAATGGAGGAGACCACCTGGAACTTAAAAAATCAATAGTGGAATTTTAACAAGGCTTGCAAAAGATACATTGTAGCTGAAACTTTGTTACAAGAGAACAAAGCCCCTGGAAAGAGAAAGTGAGAAAAGAAGCAAGAAAAGAAGCAAGGATTATTGGATGACTCCTGGAACTTTGGATGGAGAATCCTAATGAAACAAAATAAAATCAATTGGGGGTTGTTTAATTTTTTTTAAAAAATGGCATCACTCCTTGAAGAGTTAAAAATGAGACTTAAAGAACAAAAAGTAGCACAAGATGGAAGAGGAACTTTTGGCTTCGTATTTCAATTTTTAGAAATAGAGATCCTGAATTATGAAAAACAACGAGAAATGCTGGCAGAACAAGAAAGGCGGGACAACGAAGAAACCATCTTTAATGACCAAGCAATTTTAAGCGGGTTAAAAAAGGGAAAGGGGGGAAAGGGAGCTAAAAACTTAAGCACTGAAGCAACAACCAAAAAAAGAGTAATTTGAAAAGTAATCATAATATCAGGAAGAAGCAGCAGGGAGGATCACAGAAGGGAGAATCACATAGAAAAGGGAATAAAAAGGGGAGGGAGAAGAGAGGGAAGAGGGAAAGGAAAAGAAGCTATAGAAGTACAGGAAAAGCGTACAAGAATTAAATGTATAAACCTATTTAAAAGACACAGAGACAATGGTTAAAATTTAACTTAAGGAGAGGATTCTGCAAGGGTGCATGAGATAGCATTGTTATATTAGAAATAGAAAGGGGTTAGAAAATGTTAGATGATTAAAGTGATAGAAAAAATTATATTGATGTGTAGTGGAATATTTGTTTGTAAAAATAAGGCTCTCAATGGTTTAAAAAGAAAGTTTAAAAAAAAAACCAAAAAGAAACATGGAAGGTTTTTATCAGTTGACAAGATGAACTTGAATTTGTATTTGTATGTTTTGTGAAAACTTAAAATAAAACTTTTATTAAAAGAAAAAAGAAAATCATACAGATTTGTCTGTGAATCAAGCTTACTTTCAAGGCATCTTTGCGGTTTTTGTTTTGTTTTTTTTAGCTTAAATAGAAATGCATGTATTTTTGTTTTTTTGAAAGAAAGTTCAAAAACCAGAACCAGGCTTGAAATGTGCTGGCTTTGTATCTGTTCAAAGGATAATCAATCAAGAAAGGGCTATACTGCACGGGTGTCAAAACTGGCGGCCTGCAGGCCAGATGGCTCACCTCCAGGCCACACCTACCCCAGCTCCATGAAGAGAAAAAACATCGCAAAACATGACGCAACAGCGTGACACAGCAGGTTGGACACCCGTGGGCTAAAAGGGAAGCTTTAAGTTAGAGCAAGTGTGTAGAAGGAGTGGAAAGACCTGGGGGGACAGAGTCAAAAGAGGAATCAGCCTAGAGTCACTATGTAGCCACAAATGGATGAAGTCCAACCCCTCTTGAATTCTGTTGAACCTTATCTAATGGTCAAGTAGAGCTATTAGTTCAGTAAATTCCACTGCTTAGGCATGAGTAGTAATAAATCAGTTTAATTAAAACTTCAGGTGCAGTCCTGGTTTTTAGTGCCTGACAAGGCCTGAGTCCCATAATTTCCATCCTCTCTCTCTGTGCATAGAGAGATAATTGGTGGCACAGCTAAATCTTGTCTTACGTCCCTTCAAATACTCACTATCCATATAGTAATCAAGTAACTAGAAGGTAGAAAACCTGGAATGCTTTGGGTGGTGGGGTTGTTGTTGGGAAGGAATAGGGCTATTGAAACCCTACTCATCTCTTGTTTAAAGGCACTCCTCATTCTCTGATGGCAACATTCATCTGGACTGGTTTTGTCCCCTTTGAAAAATTAAAGTGTGTAAGAATCAGAGCTACGTATGGAGTGTGCCAGCTGAAGTGCCCATAACGCCTCTAGATGAGACAGTCGGCACGCAAATCTAATAAATAAAAAAAAACTTGGACTCTTGCACCTTTGGTCAGGACCTGGAATATTTCCAGGCCTCAAAGACCAAATCAGGTGACCTGAAATTATTCATTCTGTTTCCCAAAAAAGGGATTAGATCTAGAATCCCTATTGCACAACCTAACTTACCAACACACGTTAAATCTTTAATTCTCGAAGACTTGGCTCTGTGCCTGGAACTACCATTGTGCTTTTTAAGACAGAGAATGGAGACATTTCCTTCATTACATTGCAGTGGGGGATGGAGAGCTGTCCTTTAGCTGTTTCTTGACCAGGACTGATTTTCCTTCCTATTTGAACATATGAAAGTATGTCTTTGCTTGAACACTTTCCTTTTCTATTGAAAAAACACTTTTTTTTCTCTCCTTCTCCATTGTTCCTCATTTTGGTATCTAGTTTCTCCTGTCCTTCCTCTCTTTCCTACACTTGTTTTCATTCACAGCATTTATTAAAATGCTCTTGTGTCCACAGATGCTAAATGCTAACAATACAAGAGGAAATTAAACTCACATTTTAAAGACCACCTCCAGAGCATTGGGTATGGGCCAGACCACAGAATATAGACAGCCAAAATCCACCATTGGGGATTGAGTTTTCAGCTTTTTGTTCCATTGTTCCAAACCTTTCTTGGAAGTTGCTCTCAGATTAGCTACGAAAGGAGTGTAAAATTGAGAGGGAAATCTACAAGTCACTAACTGAAGCTATCCATATGAATGGAAGCCCTGACTCTCACTTCTTGACTTGCATAAAACAGGTATCACCAGTTCTCATTTGCTGAAGCTCAGTACTTAAGCTACAGCAAAGACGGTGAGTATAGGAACATTATTCTCATTTTTGTTTATGCTGTCACAAATTTATTAAATCTAGCAGTTAGTTTTCAATTTAACAGGTATCCTTTTCCTCTCCATCATGTAGATTTTCCCTACCGGCAAATCTCTCGCTATGATCCTCAAGTTATTAGAAGCTGTATTTTTTTAATTACTTAATTTACTTATGAAAAGATATCAAATGATTCACTCCCAATTCGACATTTGTCAAGAATGTCTTTGTGGCCCAGGACATGGATACCTTCTATAACATCTGCCCCTGGATTATGTTAGGGCCAGATTCAATCCAAGTATATGTATATTTTTTTAAAAAAAAAACTTTTATTAAAATGTTTTGGATACAGACAAACCGTCTCTGCAAACATGCTTCTCATTTCCAGAAATTGGAAGTTAAAACACTTTGTTAACAGAATGATGTTGACTCTATTTTCCAATCTGTAACCCAGTTCCTAAGGAATATATTAAACTTTATATGCAGACATTGCAAGGAGACATGTCCAAAGACAGAACACGGCAGGCAGAAAATTGATCAGAGCCATACACAACCGGTTTCTCCAGTGGCTGGAGCCACTTTCATAGAAGTTGTTCCTTTGGGCACCATCTTATAGCTCTGATTATCAGGGCCTTTTTTTTTTTTAAGCATGTAGTCGAAGATCAGAGTTATCACATCTCATGTTGATCCAAGGTGAGCCATTCATCCATATTCCTTGATCGAACAAACATTAAGAGAATTACAGCTGTTCAATGGAGCAGATGATACATTATTTGCACCCAATCAAGTTTTTTTTTCGTGGACTCATGTACAGTTATAATTTTCCACATCTCCTTGGCATCATATGCACAGGCACTTTGGCCTAGGAAATATTCACAAGTCATCGAAAAGCTTCTTACATAAAACCCAAAGGTGTTATAAACCACAAATGAACTCAACAAAGATGCTGTAATATTTTGATGAAGATACTGCAAATAGTTCAAGAATAACCACATCAGAAAAGAGCCTGGTTAATTAAAATGGACTCTTCCCCAATTATCATGTCTTTCAGGAACTGGCTACTCCGTCATAGCTCTTCCAATGGAATTATGTCTTAAATTACCTCTGGAATTGCAAGCTGGACTCTTTCAACCTGCACAGTTTTAAGATGCTTCATATTTGTAAAACAGTCAGCCCTTTTCATATTTGTAAAATAGTCAGAAAAGTAAAATATTTATCCTGATATCTGCACTACATACTTCAGAAGGCTCCATGAGTTTTTACCTGAAATGTTAGTAATTTTAGGTAAAGACCAATGCATTCTGACCTGCCAATGCACTGGATGAAACTGGCAATTTAGAAGTTATTAAAACTGATGTCCAAAATCACAGGAGGATTTCCAAATGTTAATGATTCACTTTTTCCCCTCTCAGTGAAGT